TACCCTGGTGTCTACAAACTAAGTTGCCTCTGTGGTAGTAGTTACATTGGAGAAACCAAACGCCATGTCTCGGACCGCATTCGTGAACACAAAGCAGACCTTAAACACGGTAGGACCAACACCTCGGCCGTAGCAGATCATTGTTCTAATTCAGTAGGCTCACATGCCATTGACTTTTCCAAGACAGAGGTTCTTTGTAAGCCATCTGGCTTCCATGAGAGATTCGTTCATGAGGCTATCCACATATATAAGCACAGAGACAATTTCAACCGAGAAGATGGATTCTATCTTAGCAATCATTGGAAAGATTTGATAAACCATTTCAGTTCTTAATTGATTGTTCACGCTTACAGTGGCTTTCAGACAGCATACATTATACAAAATTTCGTCTCCCCCCTCCTCTTTTCAAAATATAGATGGACTAGTCCTGGGTAAACTGCCAAATCGCTGCGCGTGGCGCTAACGTTTTTAATAAATAAATAAATGCGCCGTTTAAAAATAAATTTATGCAAACCAACACACCTGAAGATGACCGTTTGAGTTATGGTCGAAACGTCGTGAGAATTTTTTATTGTTATATATATTTTATTATTTTGTTGTTTCTCTTCAACGTGACTTTACCGAAAAAACTAAGAATATGAATAACTGCAGTCACGAAAGCTTTAAATCAAAAGATTTTAATTGTTCCAACTGTCCACGATACGTTATTCTCTTAACACTTGCTATAATTGCTAAAGTGAAAATAGTTATTGTAAGTTATTGGGGATATTAACTCGAAGGCTTTTGCCCCCCACTCCGCCCTCCCCCCAATCACAGCCTGATTGAAGCACATTTTCTTGAAGGAACTCATTCAAGCTCTCGCAGACATTCTGACGGTCGTGACAGTTAGGGCAGTTGGAGTCATTCTACAGCAGTGCCCGAGCGGATCCTCCACACCCCGTGTCATCGCTTGCTGCCTTCGACATCTCGACGAAGGAGTTCAGATGTTGTTACTCCCTGTAAGTGCAGGTCTGTAGAAAGAAACACGGCACATCTGCACTCAGATGTGTAGAGTGAACCTATAATATCTGTGATATCGCGGTGGAATCACTGGTGTTTAGGTTTGTTATAAACAGCTGAACCAATTGACGAAGGCCGTCTCACATAGCGCAATACGCTCAGACTTTGCCATTTAAAGCCCCATTATCTCATGCCATCGTAGTAAGCCGTGTAAGCAATGTTCGGTACGCACCTAGGACAGAGCCTTGGGGGACGCGAAAACAAACTGTTCTAGTTGCAGACTTAGAGTCAACCAGGCTAAGAACATTTTTTCGATTCAATAAATAGTATCTAATTCAACATAGTGTAGTGCCATTAACCCACCTAGCATTTTCCAATTACTGTATTCAAGCAGTAACAAAATCAGGACTCCGGTCGATTATAACTAGAATGCTGGAGGAGCCAGTGTTAGGGGTAGTCAATAAATAATTTGTCAACCTCACAAAGGCATTAATAATCAGTGTTGTGCTAAAACCAAAAAATCAGAATGGAAAGGGTCAATGAGATATAGAAAATAAACGGTTAATTTGACACGTAGGTTTTCACGACAAATATTAATAATCAAAGTATATGGGTTTATTCTCCAACACACGCGTGTGCGTAAATAGTAACTAATTTTCACGTTTTGTTCATGTGGAAAACCTTGCCAATTGGCTGTGTTGGATGGAGGTGAGTTAACGACGCAATGATATTTACGTGATCTAACCCAAAAACTTCGATTATGAAAGTAAACGGTGTTGGAATTAAGTCAACCACACTCTAGAGAATCTTGGAAGGAAAGGGTAAATTGGAGATAATTGTAAGGTAGTTCAGATTAAAGGCTGACTTCTTGAGGGGAGGGATGACAGCAGCGTGTTCGAAAAAAGAGAGGGGACTGCAGGAAGGAATCCCTTTAGGCTTCTTCAAAGAGCAGATAGCGGTATAGACAGATGCACGTCTATTCGGATGGGGAGCATTTTTCCACAGTTGGACATTGCATGGCAAATTGTCAGCAGAGGAAAGAGGGGGGAATATCATTCTCCGTGAACTCGGAACAATACAGCTATCATTGAAGCAGCAGTGATAGGGAAATGTCTTGGTACATTGCGATAACATGACTGCGTTGGCCATGGTGAACGGGCAGGGCTACCCGCGGTTCAACAAGCTGATCCGCGAGTCATCTCGCCTCTTGGGCGGAGAACAAGGGGGTGCAGCTGCTAGCTCGACACTTGCCAGAGTTAACAACCAGACTGAGTTGGGAGACTGGATCCCGGCGAGTGGTCGCTGCATCCTAAGGTCTCTCGCCTGGTTGTCAGGAGGTTCAGTGTTCACCGAATTAATTGGTTCACCTCCAGGGAAAATGCAAAAGTAAACTATAAAAAACTATTTTTTATTTTACCAAGAAAATTGCAGAACCTGACTATTTTGCACGTGGTGATCAAATTACATATTCTGGTCGAGTATGCTCTTTATATGAGTAGAAAACTGAATCCAGAGCCCGACTACCAACCAGCAGCACTTCCGATTTTGCTGGATTAAGCAGCATTTCGTTTCGTGCAAACCACACGAGCACCGATGAATGTAACAGGGTACACATTTTTTCTAACGTGGATGCGAACTCGATATAACGCGTTTGATTGAACAAAACTACATCGCGCGAGTAGGAATAAGAAGTTATACGGCTGCTGGATGCTTCTAGATGCTACCCACGCGCCTCAATCTTTGTTCAGTCTGCGTACGCATCTCACGTATATTATCGCGGACTGTGCTTTACCCTACATTGTATATTATTTGTTATAACGCGATTTTTCCATAACGCGGTGTTCTTCAGGAAGGCAACTACCGTGTTATAGGAGAACAGACGACCCTCCACAATTGGCTTGGTTGTCCATGTCACTGAGGAAATGATAGCCGGAGGCGTCGCGTGGTGTGTGGAGGGTTTCCCCCTTCCCCTCTCCCCGGGAAGGGGGAGCCCAGCTCATCACTGAGTTATCAATTAAGACAGAGTTCGATTATATTAAAATTGAATTGGAGCGTGCCAATGACCAACTTTGAAAACCTGGATGAATGTGAGTACTCAACCCCAGTTGAAGCTCATCTCTCGACTTTGCAGGTCTGTGGAAGCTGTGTACTTTATAATTAAAAGTAACTATATTTGGTATTCACATTGCAAGGTGATTATAAAGGCACTATTTGCATAGTCAAGTGTGATCTGTCATTAGGGGAGTGATGTTATGTGGTTTTTCTCTTTTAAATACATTTTGACTGCAATCTTTTGTGACTGCAGGAATTCATATTCTTGGTTCTTTCAGTAAAGTAACGTAAATAGAAAATAAAATAAACACAATAAAATAAAATTAAAAATAAAATAAAAATTAAAGCAAAAAACCCACGACGTTTCTATCGCAACACAAGTGGTCTTCATCAGGCGGAGAGAAAGAGGGCAAACCTCCAAATGCCACTGCTGATAAGTTTCAAAAGTGAGTGGACAGGGAACGAGATTCGGGGGAAGGAGAGCTGGGAGAAGGAGAGGAGAGCTGGGTGGAAGAGAGCTGGGGTAGGAGAGCTGGGGGGAGGAGAGCTGGGGGGAGGAGAGCTGGGAGAGGAGATCTGGGAGGGGGGGAGCTGGGGGCAGGAGAGCTGGGAGGAGGATAGCTGGGAGGAGGAGAGCTGGGGACAGGAGAGCTGGGCACAGGAGAGCTGGGGGCAGGATAGCTGGGAGGAAGAGAGCTGGGGGCAGGAGAGCTGGGGAAAGGAGAGCTGGGGTCAGGAGAGCTGGGGGACAGGAGAGCTGGGGGCAGGAGAGCTGGGGTCAGGAGAGCTGGGGGACAGGAGAGCTGGGGGAAGGAGAGCTGGGGTCAGGAGAGCTGGGGAACAGGAGAGCTGGGGGAAGGAGAGCTGGGGTCAGGAGAGCTGGGGGACAGGAGAGCTGGGGGCAGGAGAGCTGGGGACAGGAGAGCTGGGAACAGGAGATCTGCGGGCAGGAGAGCTGGGAGGGGGGGCAGGAGAGCTGGGGAGAGGAGAGCTGGGGAAGGAGAGCTGGGGAAGGAGAGCTGGGGGCGGAGAGCTGGGATCAGGAGAGCTGGGAGGAGGAGAGCTGGGGCAGGAGAGCTGATGCTTATCTGGCAAATGTGCACCGTAATGCTGGCAAACTTGGCCTGGATTAAATGAGAGGGGAGATAGAGCATAGTGCGTGGAATGGAGTAGATGGAGATTTGAGGGGAGAAGTAGGAGAGTGTGGGGAGTAGAATGAGATGAGAAGGGAGAGGTAGAGTGAGATGAGAGGGAAGCTGTAGGTGAATGCAGGAGAGTGCGATGAGAGGGGGAGAAGTAGGAGAGTGAGATGAGAGGGGAGAGGTAGGAGAGTGAGATGAGAGGTAGGAGAGTGAGATGAGAGGTAGGAGAGTGAGATGAGAGGGGAGAGGTAGGAGAGTGAGATGAGAGGTAGGAGAGTGAGATGAGAGGTAGGAGAGTGCAATGAGAGGGGAGAAGTAGCAAAAGGGGAGAGGTAGGAGAGTGAGATTAGAGGGGAGAGGTCGGAGAGTGAGAGGTAGGAGAGTGAGATGAGAGGTAGGAGAGTGAGATGAGAGGGGAGAGGTAGGAGGATGAGATGAGAGGTAGGAGAGTGAGATGAGAGGTAGGAGAGTGCAATGAGAGGGAGAAGTAGCAAAAGGGGAGAGGTAGGAGAGTGAGATGAGAGGGGAGAGGTAGGAGGGTGAGATGAGAGGTAGGAGAGTGAGATGAGAGGTAGGAGAGTGCAATGAGAGGGGAGAGGTAGGAGAGTGAGATGAGAGGTAGGAGAGTGAGATGAGAGGTAGGAGAGTGCAATGAGAGGGAGAAGTAGCAATAGGGGAGAGGTAGGAGAGTGAGATTAGAGGGGAGAGGTCGGAGAGTGCAGGAGAGTGCGATGAGAGAAGAGAGATCGTGAGCTGAGAGGGGAGAGGTAGGAGAGTCAGATCAGAGGGCTGTGCTGCTACTGTAGAGTGAAACTTATTTAATATTTTTTGTTCGGAAGTCCTCAACTCTCAACATTTCGCCCTCTAGCGGCTTTGACTGCCGTCTCCTGCCTCACCACCACCAGCCGCTATGGTACACGGCCTTACCCGCATACCCACGCTTATTTTTAACCCTTTAACAGTTTAATCACTCGAGTGCAGCTGTCGCCGCCTCTATTAGCATGTAAAGTTCGTTTTAAGTTAATTAAATTTAGCTTAAAATAACAGACCGATGTCTGCGGCCTGGCAGACATCGAGGCCTACCATTGGTACTGTCGCGGTGGCCGCGTTGCCTCGCAACTCGCGCGGCCGAAGCCGCTAGTCGAGGTCGCCCTCGCCGTGTCGGGCCTGCGCATACGTGGCAGCTTTTACTTCGCATTTTGTTTATCGTTTGTTTGAATGCTTTATTTGTTTGTAGTGAGTTGAGTAAAATGAGCTCGCGTGCAGGGAAGTGTGTGGATTGTGACATCGCGGGAGCGTGAGAGGTGGTGACGGCTTTGGGGGATGGGTGCGAGGCGTTGAACAGTGTTATTGCTCACGGCAGGTGGTGATGTTGATGTTTAATTTGTTATTGTCTTGAGTTAAGGCTAAACGTGGCCTTGTGTACAATTGCTACGTTTGGCTGTGAAAATTGTTCTTCGACTTGACGATTGAGTGAGCTGAAACATGTTGTTTGTTTAGGCGTCATTACTTGATGAGGCCTTCATCCAGCAGTGGTTAGAGCATGCATTCTTGATGATGAGGTGGACGTTTTGGGCAATGGACCTGCTGCTATCAAGCAGTTTCATTGCCCGAAACGTCAGCTTTTTAAAGATCATGGAGAGCTTTTTAGATGGGGCTTGTTAATCGTTTACAGTGGCTGAAGTTAATCGCGTTGCTATGTTTAGTCATTTTTCCTTTTTTTTGTCGTCATCCCTCAAACTTCATTGTCATTGTGCTTTCGGCAGCATTCCATGGGATGAATCCTCGCAGAATTGCTTTTACTACTTGTGTAATACCAAGTACCGTATTGTGCACAACTCCTTAAGTTCCCTTCAAGTGACCTATTTTTAGCCACAAACTAGGGGGCAGCACTTTCGCGCCCAGATTAATGTTCATTGCATGACTGTCAAGTCGACATTTTGTTATTCTCAGTTGAAATTTTGCCACATTAAGTGCAGAACGCACACATTTAATGTCATTGGGTTTTTTTTTGGTACCTTCAACTCGCTGCGTATGTATGTTGAACGTCTTTCGTACCATATGTAGCCAACCTTGCTAATCGGAGATGTGGGGGAAAGACAACAAACTAAACACAACGTAGTTCTAAAGAAATTAGTTTTCAATCTCGACTTAAAAGTGCATAGCTCCAGTGGCTGCTTAACATCGGAAGGAAGAGCGTTCCAGTCGGCCGCAGTAGCGCATCTGAAAGCTTCGCGATGCAGGGACCGTCTTCGATGAAATGGTTTAGGAAAAAGCTGCTGCGAGGAACAACAACAACAATAAACAACAGAGAGGAAGTAGCCGCCGTGTTGGAGTGTAATAATGAGTTTTACGACAAATGCGTGTGAACCAAGTGCAAATGATTAACTACTCTTAGAGAACCAAGTTTAATTACTGGTTGGGCGGCTGAAGCTTAGAATCGAACCACCTCGCGTGGATGCAGCGTGAAGTTAAAATAACAAATGAAGGGGGTGTCCAGGTAAACTCAATAATCCACGTCGCTGCCTGATGATGCTAGTTGTAACTACCAGAAAAACGTCGTACCCAATTAAAAATTGTGGGCTGGTCTCCAGCATCCCCGTGTGCTGAAACAGTAATAAAGTGGCATGTTTGTTCACGTGATAACTTTATTAATTGGCTGTGACTGGGTGAACTTGCAGTCTACCGTTTAGAATCCATCTCCTATCAACACAAGCCTCTACTTTATGGATGTTGTGGTGTATCACTTTTTTGTAGTAAAACCCTCATAGTCACCATACAAATACTCTTGATCATTGTTTGAGTGTTGCGATTCATAATAATCCAGTACATTTCATATTGGTGATTTCACAGCGCAAGGCTAGCAACACAAAAGTAGGTGCTGCTGTCATCCACACAGTCTCCAGTAGTTTCACAGTCGGGGGCAATTTTGCATTACGTTCAAAGTAAGTTTTCTAATTGGTAAAATGTTCACTATGATGCCATCATACAATGGCCTCATTTCAAATTATGTAAATATCCATTATAATGCAAACAGCGCGTAGTAGTTCACGATTAATGTCTGCAGCGTTCATCAGGGTGGCCTGCCAGATTCCAACTGCTTCTGACTGGCTGTTTTCCCACTACCCGATTTAACAAGTTAAATGCCTCGTGTCTCTCCCATCTGCCTCCTTCCCTCCAGTCGGCAATATTTAACTTCCAGGCGCTGCTGACAGTGCTGCTGCTGCTGGTGTGCACGTGCGCGTATGTGCGGGCGCTCTTCCCCTCCATGCTGGACCACAACAAGACCGGGTGAGCGGCAGGGGGATATAAATCTATTATTACATTGCTCTAAGGGGGATTTTGGTTGTCTTGAAGCCGCTCCCACCCCCTCCCCATTGTCCCCGCCCACCACTACCAAAACAAGCCCAACCGTGTGTCCGGAGGAGGGAATTGGGCCTAAATAGAAATAGATGGGGTCTAAAGAAGGGGGCGTGTCCTAAAAAGGAAAGGTGCGGAGCCAAAAGAGGCTCCACCCCCTTCCTAACGAGGAAGGGGGTGGAGCTGGAGAAATAAGGAGGTGGGGCCTACAAAGGTTGAACATTCCTGTTTTAAGGTAAAAGCATTAAATCAAATACGTGGAGCAAGCAGGTGACAGGCCAATTAGTTATTTGTAATCTTTATCTTCAATTTTATCCCGACTGTGCTATTGGCATCATGCTTGAGACGAATAATCCAATTCGGAAATCTGTCCTAGAGCAGTGCAACCCTTTGTGTCTAGAGAACAGCCTGCAGCACCAGATATCCCAGAGCTACCTTTGTACCACACTGTAGGGGGCAGCACTTTCCAACCTGCCCTGCTTACAGAGAGTAAGGTGTCTTAATGTGAGTCATACCAATATTTAGATTGTCTGAGATGGAGTTTAACCAAACTAAGTGTGGCAAATTTAGCATTATGTTTTTTTTGTGCGGTCGTTGGTGATTGGGCTGAGACCATCAATAAATTAGATGGTGTAAATAAAATCAAGGGAGGGTAGGGTTGCTACTCGCAGAGCACACGATAGACTCACATGCCTCAGGGCACAGGGTTTGCCAATTTTATCGCTCTTATCATCTCCATGGTTGAAGTACCCTCGGGCACATGCAGAATCTCGATTTATACTGGAGGAAGCCAATGAGCCTATAAAACTCTTTTTCACAGATGTCCAGTAGGGGCACGGGCTCAGAAAGTTACAACAACAAATAATATAAAAACACGATAGGAGTGCTAAGTATAGGAAAAGTAAGCTAACCACTAAAAATAGACAAATAGATAAAGTATATTGGTTCAAATTGTGCAAGTGCACCAGCTTGGGAAAGGCAGCAAAACAACAGCAAAAACAGTCCCAGATCACACCAAGACCCTCAATAATGCACGCGACATGATCTAAATTGCTCTATCTCCGCGGTGGTTATCCTCTCACATGCGTTATCTCCACTCCATTTGACGAATAATCGGGTATCAGGCATATGCATATTTTTTATGGATATCAATAGGCAATGGAGTGATGGCATGGTCAATAAAATGACTGGCACCCCATTGTTAGTCTGGATTACCAGCCATCATCACCTCTTCTTGCGGTCTGTCGCTGCCCAGGCCCGGTAGTAATGCTGTGGTGAGTATGGGATGCAGCGAATCTCTCCTCTCGAGAGAGTAACAACAAATCGGCACGATTCAGTCACAATTCCTCCCCCGCAAATCAATTTAACATTGCGGTGAATGTAGCGCTCTCTAGAGGCTGCAGGGATCACGTACAGCAATGTCACGCAACGCGTACACGCGAATTTAAACGGATGCAAATTTTTACTTAAAACTTTCGTGACTGCAGGAAGTCATGTTCTTTCGGTAAAGTCACGTAGATAGAAAATACAATAAAAGTAAAAAATAATACAATTAAAGAAAATTACATTTTTTTAAATATTAAAAGCAAAAACCCCACGACATTTCGATCGCAACACAAGCGGTCTTCATCAGGTGGAGAGAAAAGAGGGGGCAAGCCTCCAAATGCAACTGCTTATAAGGGTTTACAAAGTGAGCAAAGCTGTGCGGCATAAATAACATGGGCGGGGAAGCCAGCGCAAATGTAGGAGCAAAGCACCACTAGTACAAGTAAAGCGAGTGCGTTAGACAATGGGGGGAGGGAGGGTAGAGGCAGGGGGAGAGAGAGAGGGGGGTAGAGATAGAGGTGGAGCTGAAAGGTGAGGGCGCAGTCCAAGTGTGTTAGACAATGGGGGGAGGAAGAGGGTAGAGATAGGGGGGAGAGATAGGGGGAGAGAGGGGGGTACAAGTAGTGCGTTAGACATTGGGGGGAGGGAGGGGGGCAGAGACAGGGGGTGAGATAGAGGTGGAGCTGGACTGCGCCCTTGCCTTCAGCACCTGTACCCTCCCTCTATCTCCCCCTGTCTCTGCCCCTCCCCCCATTGTCTAACGCACTCGCTTTACTTGTAATACTTATACTTGTAGTGCTTTGCTCCTTCATTTGCGCTGGCTGTCCCGCCCATGCTATTTACGCCGCACAGCTTTGCTCACTTTGAAAGCCCTTATAAGCAGTTACATTTGGAAGCTTGCCCCCTCTTTTCTCTCCATCTGATGAAGACCGCTTGTGTTGCGATCGAAACGTCGTGGGTTTTTTGCTTTTATTATTTAAAATGTATTATTTAACATTTTATTTCATTTTATTATTTTATTTTCTAAACGAATGCATTGTAAATTGTCTCTTTTGAAAGAATATTGACCAGAGAATGGACGATTGCAATTTTTGGTAATTTTTATTTATTTTCTTCTGTTCACAGAATTCTCGGCATTTTTTGGAAGTGTGCCAGGATAGGTGCGTTATGAAGGGTTTGGGTGCCCACGGGCATGCTCCTGTTGCTGTCATGCTGTCATGCTGTTGCACTCTTTTGCATTGTGCTGTATTAATTTATGCACGCGTGTGTGTGCCTGCGTGCATGCGTGCATGTGTGCGTGTACGTGCATTTATTTAAGTGCGTGCATGCATAGTGTTCTGCATGCAAGTCTGACTACACGTGTGTTTGCTTGCCTGTGTGCTTGCACGTGTGTTTGTACTTGTGGGGAGCAGTAGTGTAGTTAGCACCCTGCGCTATGAACTCGGCGTCTCGAGTTCGATTCCCGCTCACGGCCAACACCAGTGACGATTATCTGAACCGGTTCTGGGCCTCCCCTAGGTCCACTCAGCCTCAAATGAGTCTCTGGTACGATGTGTAAATATGGCCATTAGGGAGACAAAGGCGGGCAGGCGTGATGTTGGCCACCCACCACCTTGTGTGCCTTGCCGACCTTCATAGGTGCTTACTAACAGCACTTACCCCAACAATCTGTTAAGGCTATATGGGGGGTCTTTGTGCTTGTGGGGAGCGGTAGTGTTGTGGTTAGCATGCTGCGATATGAACCCGGTGACCCAAGTTCGATTCCCGCTCGATTCCCGCTCAAATGAATACCTACTGCAGTGAGTAAAGATTACCACTCGGAAGACAATGGCAGTCGGGCATGGTGCTGGCCACATACTCCCTCCTGTACCGTCTTAGCCTTCTTAGATACGGGGGATCTTTGTCTTTGTTGTTATTGTGCGTTCTTGCATCTGTGCATTCAAGCACGTGCCTGTGCATGTCTGCTGTGCCTGTGTGCTGGCACGCACGTGTGTGTATGTGTACACCTACGTGCGTGCGTGCGTTTGTGTGGGTGTGTGCAGGTGAACGGAAGAGCGCGTATGTGGGAGTGGCATGCATTGCCATGGCATTCAGCATCCTCTTCCTCCAGTAGCACAGGGCGAAGGGCTAGTCACTACGGCTTGGGGGAGGGGAAGTGGAGGTAGGGGGGAAATATTTGGGGGGAGGGGGAAGAGAGAAGGGGGATGAGGTGCATGCACCGGGCAGTCGGGAGCCGAGTTTCACTCTGAGTTTGCACTCCTAGGAGACTCCAAATTATCAGCACTATCGCCATCATCATTATCATCTCACCATCGTCACCGCTACATCAACAGGATTACTGATATAATCACCGTTGCCTCATTGGCATAATCAATGTTGCATTATCACTTTTATCATTAGGTACATTTCCATTAGCTGCTAGATAAGAGCCTTCCCCATGCCGTGCACACTGGTCAACGCTGTGGTTTGGGAAGGCGAGAAAGCGTAGACGTTGGGAGCATAGTACAGTACAGCAATGCATATTGCTCTTCTGCCTCCTGCTGACATCCGTAGCTCCGCATCGTTATCACTTTACGCATTTTTGCAACTTCGGTGCCACATTCTATCATCTCTTTACAATAACATCATATTCGCAAACATCACATGCCCAATGTCAATGCGCGCTGCTTTTTCACTGCGCTTTTGGTTCTCTAGCTGTTGAGACGTGCGGCGTGGATGGGAACACAGCGACGGGAAACGGCGTCATTCGTACACACATTCCATCGTCATTGCTGCGGTAGTCGTAGTCCTAAGTGAGTGTAACACGAGTTGTGATGTCGCTGGACTTAGAAACACTCTCTCTGTGCGCCATGACGAACACAGCTCCCACCTTCGCGATGCGTTTCCGGTGTCGTATCGCGCATGGTTCGGCCCAATGTCTGACATTTCACTTCGACGTGCTGGAGGAGTTTCTTCAGGAATTGAAGTTCCTCAACTGAAGAAACTGAAGGTTTAACTGACAGAACAACACAACCCAAATACAAGTCGGAGAGCTGCGTCGTACAACTGCTAAAACTTACGCAGTGGCACCACTTCCACCAATCGGCCCAAGCCATGCTACTCGCAGGGTATGTTAGTGGATGCACGAAAGTCATTTCTGGTCAAAATGGGGCAGGTAGAGTTTGGATTATGGCATCAAGATTGACTCCAACATTGTATTTTAGTGCAGCAGTGTTTGACCAAAAACTATCTACAACAATTGAACAAGGGCCTTGCCCAAATGCAGAGGAGGGCGCCCTCGTGTATTGCGCTGGCAGCCACAAAGAATGCATCGGATAAACATTTTTAACCTCCGTGAAACAAATTTTTTTTCACAAAACGGTGAGATTTTTCAGTTAAGGATTTGGGTTTTGCCCCACAGCGGCAATTTAAGGTGCGTTTTTCTTTCTCTTTTCGAGATATTTTTCCCTCGTCCACGTGGGTTTGCAAATGTTCTTGAGGCTCAAGGTGCCTGCCGTCTGGGACTCCCCCTTGCTGGTGCAGAAGAAGAGCCACGTGACCCAGTGATGGGATCGTTAAAGGATCGGTGATCGTCGCTTCTTGGTTGAGACTGCTTGCATCTCGTTTAGATTATAAGAAATCGCTCTAAGGGAAAACTCCTTTAGACGTTGACCACTGCTTGTCCAGGATTTGTCCCCCAATTGACTGGGGCCATTTGAAGGTTATCGTCGCCATCGGTGCATCTACGCTGAACACCTACGTACAAAAACGTTAGACATAAATGGCTTGGCACGGCAGAAGTTGTCTGAGCAATAGAAACAAAGTTGGTAACGTTAACAATTATTTGGTGACCCTACGTTGGCTGTGGTGCACAATCACAAATAAATAAAAACACTCAACACGTGCTATGAAGAAGGGCCATTGCACACATGTGCTGTGAATCAGGGCTATTGCCCAATACGTCACCGAATATACTTTTTGAAAGAGTTATTGATGCACATGTTTGAGTTTTTTTAAATAAAAAAAGTGAATTTGGTTAACAATGATCGATCTGTAGAGCACACAGCCTTCTGGGTAGACTTTTACGTGATCTGATTGTAAGTTGCCATCCCAGTCATGGCGAGTGGACACAATCCCATTTGCCCTCTATCGGGGCAGAAATGTGAAATGGTCCGTCGATAAACCACTGAAGGCAACGATTACCATTAACTGACCCTGTTAGTGTTCAAAGATCGCACTTGACATTCCATAGAAGTTGGCCATGGGCCTGTTTACAGAACCCACTCCTGTATTCCATCTTTGTCCAGTAAAGCTTTTTTTGAATAACCTTTGCTGTCGTGTATGCCAGTTCGACTTAAGTCTCAACAAAGACATAATCGGGGTGACACCTATTCCGGTTTGACCTGGTACAGTCCAATAATTGGCATCCATTTTCCGGCGCAGAGGTTGATTTGTACCAAGATCTGTGTGGTGTTGTGGTTGAACTTTACAGTATAGTGAACTATAGAGTGCAGATAGACATGGGCTGAATGGAAGATATGTCCACGTTTGATCTGTGGAAGAGGTGGCAAAACCCATCGATTGCTGACTGTACTGGATCTTTAACATCAGATTTCTAAGTATATACTACATGGGGATGTCTCTGTTTTATATGTGCGTATAAGTACGTGTATAGATGTGTGTGGTTCCACCACGTGAAATGCGTGCGGTGCTGGATCCATCTCTAACACGGTCATTGTCCCACTGGACTCTCCATCAGCTCGCTCGGGTTGGCTGTAATCCATTCACCTAAATGGCTGTTAGCATCCCAGTGTCGAATGCAGTAGAGTTATGTCTCGGCGGCCTTGACGTTGAGCTGACGTTCACCTGCTCACATCAGGCGCTTGACCAGACTGCTTTTATTAGTTTCGATAATTGCGCACCGTCCGTCGTGCATTGACCGTGGAGATCGAGGATGCGGTCGTTACCAGTCGCGTGTGGACGATCGCAAACGGCATCTTCGGCTGTGAATCTGCCTCTGCTGAAGTCGGAGTCGGTGTTAAATGCTGCGGATCGCCTGATAGTTCGCAAGTGGAAGTTTGTTCTCACCACGACATTGACGAGTTACATTGGCTGCCGATCAAACACAAGATTACGTACAAACGCCCACTTCTCTAAAAGAGTCTGCACCAGTCCACTCTGGCCTATCTCACAGAGCAGTGCATGTAGCAGCCTGAATGGACCCCAAACGACACCGTTTGCAATCCACAGCCCACTGTGCAATCAGCTCCTGCTGCACGCGTGCGCAAACCTCGCGCGGTACGGCCAACGCAGTGTCGGGGTCTCCGGACCGAAGACCTGTAACCAGTTTACTGGTAGACGTTCGAGAGCCATCGTCGAGTCTAAGCCAGTTTTGCGGCAGATGTAAAACGTTCTCAATCCAAAAAGATTACGGTACTACGTGTGATCAGCACGCGTTTGTTATGTGTAATTTACTCGACTCATCGGGCACTTGCAGCGTGAAAACGCCGAGTTTATATTTGAGTGGGAGTAAATTAGTAAGTGCGGAAAGATGTAGCATAAAGCGTGGGTTCGCTAGGACTGGAGTTCGGCACACCCCGGTATAGAGGCTGATGTGAATTTGTGGCCAAACGAGATCGCACAGAGTTGAGGTTCTGCGCACGACAATGTGTGTGGCAACCGTAAACGCAAACCGAAAGCAGAAGTTGATTGTGAAGCTGTTGCAGGGGGAATATTTCAATACCGGAAGAGGGAACTACATGCACACGCTTTGTCTCTGAAGGCGGTCTGTTGTTGTTTGCGTGGCAACTGACAATGCCGGTGAATGTCCCGGGAAGACCTACAGATTTCTCAGATGGGAAAGAGAGGAAAGATCCTGGGAAAACCTGGAACAAGGTGGCAACCCGAGTGTGAAGTGTGGCCAATCAAGTCACCACAAGCTTTACGGCCTGGAGTGGCCCTCATCCAGCAGTGGATTGATAGCACGGGACTAGGGTGCATGTTCATGTGACACGGGTGGTGGTGGGAGCGGTGGCGCAGGTGTTGGCACGCAGCGCTTCGAACGCGACGATCTGAATTCGAATCCCGCTCACGGCCAACACCAGTGACGATTATTTGAACCGGTCCTGGGCATCCTCTAGGTCGACTCATTCTCAAATGAGTACCTGGTGCGGTGTGTAAACAACGCCACGAGGGAGACAAAGGCGTCCGGGTGTGGTGCTGGCAACCCACCCCTTGTGTGCTGTTACTGGCCTTCAAAGGTGCTGCTCGCTAACAACACTTGCCCCAACAGTCTGTTAAGGCTACTATGGGGGATCTTTTACTGTGGTTCTTCATGTGTGGTAAGTGTTACATTTGATGTCTTATTACTTAATTTTTAAAATAAAATTCGTATTTCTGCCATAGAAAAGGTTAAAGATTGGAAACATTTTGGGGCTGAAAAGTAGGCTCAGCTTTTAACATGTGAGTGAGTCAATGGGAACACGACGATCGTTGAACGAGTATTCACTCACTGAGCAATTTTTGTGGAACGAATCTCGTTCGTTAAGCGAGACGACGCGCCCATACTTGTCGATTTCACCTCAACACACAACCACCCCGCCACCACTTTTCCATCCCAACACATTCCCGCCCAATACTCGTCCCTTTCTGAATCCCCGCACCTGAGTTCGATTCCTGCTCATGGCCACCACCGGTGACGATTATTTTAACCGGTCCTGGGCCTCCCCTAGGTTGACTCAGCCTCAAATGCGTAACTGGTGTGGTGTGTGAACATCGCCATTGGGGAGACAAAGGCGGCCGGGCGTGGTGAATCCAAGTCCCGGGCGAAGCCGGGTAGTTAAGCTAGTACTGTATAGAGAAAAAGAAAAGACTGTAGGGGGCAAGTGCTGTTAGCGAGCACCTATGAAGGCCGGCACGGTACACGAGGGGGTGGGTGACAGCACCACGCCCGGCCGCCTTTGTCCCCCCAGTGGCGATGTTCACACACTAGTTACTCGTTTGAGGCTGAGTCGACCTAGGGGAGGCCCAGGACCGGTTAAAATAATCGTCACCGGTGGTGGCCATGAGCAGGAATCGAATTCGGGTCGCCGGGTTCGTAGCGCAGCGCGCTAACCACTACACTACAATGCGTTACGCTTCCACATGCGCGGGTCACGTGACAGAGATGTGACGTCACAGCTCACTTGCCGTGCAAAAAATAAATGCATTATTGAGCTCCCCCCCCCCCCAAAAAAAAACAAAAAAGTGTATTTTTATATTTTTTGCATGGTGTACAGTCTGGAAAGTACCCACATGGCAAATTTCAAGTTTGTTGCATGTCGGGAAGTACGCTAAACAGTTTGAACAGACACATAATCACAACTTTGCCTTATATATGGAGATGAACCAAATCCAACACCCAAAGTTCGGCGTAATTGGTGTAATCTGGATGTCCAGTTCACTTCAACGTGAACGACACGCCATCTAGGCGTCCATATGACTGCCCTCATCAACAGAATGCACGAGCCAGGATAAGGCGTGGCCCACCTGCCAGGCTGTCGCGGAAACAATCAATGAGATGCAGCCAGTCACAGCGACTGGACGGCTAGATGCAATCCGGCATGTGTGTGTGTGAACATTTGCATTGTGCGTGAGCGTGTTAAGTATGTGTTACATCGTGATGGAGATTCGTGTCTTCTGAGCAGGATTCCCTTGAGCAGGTGAATGAAGCCGCACTGTGGCTCATCGTCACCCTTCTCAATGCCTTCTCGGCATGACTCGTAGGGGGCAGAACAGGGGGCAGGTAGCGGCCAGAGAGCGGGATACTTGGGGCCCCCGGTTACATTTACAAATCAATATGGATATAATGCAATCCAATTGAATTGGAGTTTATTGGAATCACGAGGAGGGCAATAGTCTGAACGCCAGCGTGGTGTGATGTTATCTTCCTCGGCTGGTATGCAGGAGGTCGGGGGTTTGGTCCCGACCCTGACGCCTGTATATTTGGAGTTTGTATGCTCTCCCCGTGGTCACGTGGATTTTTTTATCCGTGGCCTTCGGTTTTTATCTCAACATTTAGAAACATGCATAGACATTACTTTAATTATTTATCTGCGCTGCGATAAATATCCAAATGATAAGCCACTTTGTTGAGCTATCATTTGTGATAGGTCGCTTCTGTAAAATAAGTTAATACCTCAGTGGGCTTGCCTGGTAGTATGGCGATGGTTTAGTTGTATTTGTATGTATTTGAGTGCTCTGTTTACATATCTTGTACTTTGCACTACTATCATGCTTTTGTTTTGTTTTTTGTTGTAACGTTCTTACCCGCCCCTAATGGAAATCTGTGAAAAAGAGCTTTAAAGCTAATCGGATTCCTCCTGCAGTATAAATACATATTCTTATTCTGAATCGTAACTCACTTTATATGCAGACCATAGTTTTTTTAAGTTCCCTGCAGTTTGTATGGTGTAATCGCCTCATACTTGTCTGTTTTAAAACAGTTAAGGTTATCTTTGTGATGATGCTCTGAATTCAACGGGAAAATGTTATTTGACTAAAGTGTGTTCTGTTTAAGTTGGTGTGTTATTCAATTCGTCGAGTACAGTAGTCTGGTTACCGTTTTTAATGCATTCCACGAAAACCACAGTTTCACCGAAATAACTGTTACTCGAATTCATTTATTTATAAGTATAAAAATAAATAAAAATCACTGAGTCTGCAAGATAGCTGTTTCCACTGCCAAAATAGAAGACGTACTTGGACTCCTCTACTTACGAATATTCGACTTACGAACTTTCAGAGATACGAACAAACCTGTTCATATGTCCAGTTGCCTGTTCGGACCGGGAGTCGAAAGTTCATCCGCTACGCAATAGATGTCGGTGGTGGCATCTACATCTGCAGAACATCAATAACCAGTGGCATCTACATCTACAGGAGATATTACAACTTTTAAAGCCATTCCCCATGTTTAGTGTACATGCCGCACAACATGTTTGAAATCGACAGGAGTAAGACTCACGAACAAATCGACTTATGAATAGACCTGTGGAACCTAACTCGTTGGTAAGTAGAGGAGTCCCTGTCCTGTAAACAAAGCCAGTTGAGGTCTAAACGCTCATAAATGGGCGTCACTGATTGGCTGAGGGCATGACTCAGCACGACTTACTTGCGTTTGGATTGGCCGAAATTGTCCCCCGCGTGCATAACGTAAACGTACCATCAATCAAAATGTCTTACATTAGTCGAAACTATGGGGTACTATGGGAGGCGAAAGGTTAAATGAAAAAACCGTTCACCAATGTCACTGTTAATAAAGGGACTACTGTACTTGATTTCAGTTGC